AAAGCTGTTTTTCAGCTACCTTTAATATTGACACGAGTGGGACTCACAGTACTGCTTCCTACTGGAAAGGCAGGTCCTACAAGGGAACGACCTGGCAAGAAAATAGAACAATGGATGGACGCAGGAGAGGAAATAAGACAACCATGCATTTCAAACTTCTAGACTCTACATCCCTTAAGCAGCTCACTGGTATTGTCTGAAGTCAAGAATGGGTTAGATAACCTTGTTCTAGGAGTGCCGAACACAATACCTACAAAGAGATGATCTCAGTGCATGACTGAGTATACTGGAGAAAAAAATCAAATCTATAAAGAAAACTGAGTGTACCAAAAAATCAAATCTATAGAGAAAAGTTTTTAAAATGAAGTATGAAATATAACTATATTTAGGGATTAAAATAAATGGGAAACTTATATGAAGGCAGAAGAGGTGTTTATGGGATTCCCTGGAGAGCTTGCTTTCCTGCTGGCCAGTAAAATTTGTCAAAGAAATCAGCAGCCTTTCCCTTTATGTTAGTGTCTTTTCTTTGTTAAAGAATGTCTCTGTGACACCAGAACGCTGGGGTGAGTTGAGGGTCCTTGCGCGCAGAGGATGTACACTGTATCAGGAAAAAAAGGGGGTCTCCAATGGCTTGTAAATTTGGAAAAACTCTTCAGCCACTTTTGGCTTCTTCTTTATTAATCTGAAATCCTTCCTTTTCGGTTTTCCTCCTTCTTGGTATTACAGGATTTCATATTTGTCCACTAAGAAAGTGGTCTCTGTGGAAAATCTGACAGGGCTGTTTCCATCTACCTGGGTCACTTTGGTAACCTAGGAAAGCAAAAAGCGTGGTAAGGAAAAAGGATGGTGAGTCTACAAAATATTGATTACATTTTCATTACAGATTACATCAAATTCTCTAAGAGCAGCACTAAAAGTAGCCTAGTAATACTAAAAACCACTCACACTTGCAGCTTTTGGCATTATCCAATCTGCTCTTGGCTGCAGTAAAACAGAGCAGCTGCAACAAGTAAAAGCTCAGAATGAGCTGAGTGGTGGTGCAGGCCTTTAATCCTAGCATTCTGGAGGCATAGGCAGGTGGATCTCTGTGAGTTCGAGGCCAGCCTGGTCTACAAGTGCTAGTTCCAGAACAAGCTCCAAAGCTACAGAGAAACAATGTCTTGAAAAACCAAAAAACCCAACCATGTTGGTGCTGGGAGCCAAGCCAGATCTTCTGCAGCAGATCTTTAACTGCTGAGCTATCTTTCTGCCTCCCCCATAAAAAATGTAAATGCTAAAACAAACAAACAAAAAACCACATAGGCCAGGAGTGGTAGTACATGCCCACAATTCAATTCCAGCACTCAGAAAGCAGACCTTGCTGGGTGGTGGTGGCAGCACACACCTTTAATTCCAGTACTCGGGAGGCAAAGGCATGTGGATCTTTGTGAGTTTGAGGCCAACCTGGTCTATAAGAGCTAGTTCCAGGACAGGCTCCAAAGCTACAGAGAAACTCTGTCTTGAAAAACAAACAAACAAACAAA